GTAACGCCATAAATCATAACAATGGTGAGGAAGACAAATTTGATATTGTGAACCTGAGTAATGCAGAACAAAGAAACCCGCCAGAGAGCTGAGGAGATGACAATCTATCAAGGGCTTGTCTTATCAGAAGAGGGCCTGGATCCTAGCACAGAGGAGGTGGATCCATGGGGCTCAATAACCAAACAGTCTAGCCTTGGGAGTTCCAACCCACTAAGAGGCCTTGTCTCAACAAAACACAATAGGTGGCACCTGAGAAAGAAACTTGAGGTTGATATCTGGCTTACATACACACACACGCATATGCACACACACACACACACACATACACATACACACACTGATTATAAGCTTCACCCTAAGACTGTCCTACTGACATCTCTTATCGCCTTTTATATCTTTTGAAAAGGAAGATACACGTATAAAACTCAATTTGCATAAAACAAAATTAGAATAACCTCATGAGGGGCTACCTTAGGAGAGCACTTGCCTAGTTTATAAGAATCCCTGGGTTTGATTTCCAACACAGGAAAAAACTAGGAGTGATGGGGCATGCTTATAATCGAGCATTTAGTGAGGATCAGAAGTTCATCATCCTCAGCTACATGAGACCCTCTCTAGAACACCAAAGATAATATTGACAAATAAAATACAAATCAATATTAAATATTATCATATAGATAATATGTACATTGTTACAGGTGTACAGGAAAAATAATGGCCCTAAAAGTTTCAATGTCATAATCCCCATGACCTGTGATTACCAGACAAGTGTAGTTAAGGCTGGTGGCTGTGGTTTGAATGAGATGTCCTTCATAGTGTCTGGCATTTGAGCACTTGATCCCCAGTTGATGGTATTATTTGAATAGGTTAGGAGGTGTGACCTCATTGCAGAAAGTATGCCATTGAAAACCAGCTTTGAGGTGTTAAAAGACTTGATCCATTCCTAGTTTGCTCTCTGTCTCCTGCTTGCCCTTAAACATGTGATTCTCAGCTTGCTGCTCCAGTCGTTTGCCTTCCTGGTACCACACATCAATACCATGATGGTGATGGTCTCTAATTGTTCTGGAACCATACCCAAATAAACCTTTTCTTCTTGTCTTAGTTAGGATTGCTATTGCTGTGAAGAGACACCATGACCACAGCAACTCTTATAAAGGAAAAACATTTAGCTGGGGTGCTTTACCTTTTCAAGAGGTTTAGTCCATTATCATCATGGTGCAACAAGGTGGTGTACAGACAGACATGGTACTAGTGAAGGAGCTGAGATTCCTACAACTTGACCAGCAGGCAACAGAAAGTGGTCTGAAACACTGGGTGTGCTTGAGCATATATGAGACCTCAAAGCCCACCTCCACAGTGACACACTTCCTCCAACAAGGCCATACCTACTCCAACAAAGCCACACTTCCAAATAGTGCCACTCCTTATGAGCTTATGGGGGCCGGTTACATTCAAACTAACACAGTTCTATAAGTTGCCTTGGTAGTGATGTTTTATTACAACAATAGAAAAGTAATTAATACAATGGATTTGTGGCGGTAGTGATTGGCACTGGTTGTTTTCATTTTTGGAGATAGGGTCTTGCTCCATAGCCTCAAACTCCTGATCCTATTGCCTTAGCTTCCAGAATATGGGATGACAGGTGTGTGCCAACACCACACCAGATATCACTACTGACTTTGAAGATAGAAGGTGCTGTGGAACAATCTTTACTGTAAGTATGTCTTACTCTCACTGGTTAGTAAAGAGCTGACTGGCCTATAGCTGGACAGGAGAGACTGGGCAGGAAAGCCAGACTTGGAGAATGCTGGGAAGAAGAAGGGCAGAGTTAGAAGAGTTTCCAGGAGATGCAGAGGGAGCAAGACATGCTGGAGGACAGGTAAAGCCCCCTGTTAATACATAGATCAACAGAAATGGATTAATTTAAGTTGCAAGAGCTAGTTAGTAATAACCCTGAGCTATTGGCCAAGCATTTATAATTAATATTAACTGTCTATGTTGGCTATTTGGAAACTGGTGGGTAGGAAAGAAAAGTCCACCTACAGGAGGCCTTCACATACAGCAAACCAAGGAAGCAAAACAGCTTTCCCAACTTCTCAGTTTTAGCCTGGTGTGATCTGGGTTAAATTTTTGAAATGCAGAATTTTATGCTCATACATTCATATTATTTTAAACCACTGTATTTATGGTGATATCTTACAGAAATAATACAGCAATGAAGACCTGGGAACCAATCTTGACTTTCACTGTTTCCCTTCCCCACCCCTAATTTTCACAATTTTACAGAGAACATTTTAATAAATAAAGTTTGCTGTGGAATAATCATTTTGTACACTGTAAATATTTGTCTCTCGAATTGGTGTAATAAAAAGCTGACAGGCTGGTAGCCAGGCAGGAAGTATAGGTGGGACAACCAAACTAAGGATGCTGGGATAAAGAAGGACGGAGTCAGGGGAGATGCTAGCAGACACAGAAGAAGCTAGACATGTAGAAAATACGGTAACAAGCCATGAGCCAGAGGGTAGATAAGAAATATAAGTTAATTTAAACATTAAGAGTTAGATAGTAACAAGCCTGAGGTATTGGTCAAGCATTTGTAATTCATATTAAGTCTCCGTGTTGGTTATTTGGAAACTGGTGGATGGGAAGAAAAGATCTGTCTACAAAAGTTTTGGTTATATCAGGATTTAAACCATGGACCTCTGAATGGCTTAGTGTCACCAAGCTGAGTTTGATCTAGGGAACTCATGCGGTGGATTGAGAGACCTGCCTCCCACAAGTTGTCCTCTGACATCAATGAATGCACAAGCAGTGTTGGCACACATGATAACTAATTAAAGTAAAAAAGTGTTTTTGATTTCAGACTGTGAGGTGAGAGAAAGAATTTGAATTCTCTGCCAGGAAGTGGTGGCACACATCTTTAATTCCGGCAGTCAGGAGGCGGAGACAGGTGGGTCTTTTTAAGTTCAAGACCAGCCTGGTCTACAGTGAGAGTTCCAGGACAGCAGGACTACACAGAGAAACCCTGTTTTGACACACACCCCCCCAAAAGAATTAGGGTTATCTAAGAGGATAGAACTGAGAGAGAGGTAAGGGAAGGAGGAGGGGAAGAAAAGAGGAAAAGGGAAGGAAAGGGAAGGGAAAGGAGGGGAGATGGGAGGGAGATGATGTAGTTGGTGCAGTTCGGCAATGGCCAACTGCATGCTAGAGAAGCAGAGAACCCAGTGGCTTCCCAGTTCAGGAAGCTGGATGCCTCAGCAGCCCCAATCTGGAAACTGAAAGTCTGGAAGTTCCCTGGAGAGTACCAGGTATTAAGTCTAACTTTTAAGGCTGAAGAATTTCGAGTATGTCAGATGATGACGGCAGCATGGACGTGCTACTCAGAAGGAAAGTGGCTTATAGCCACAGTCTTCATCTGGCTTCTCTATTTTATACAAGCTGGGCCCTGTTGGAAGGTACCATTAAGGGCAGAACCCACACCCCACACCCAGTCAGTCTCCCATATGGCAGTCCCCTGTGGAAATGCCCTACAGACAGAAAGCTGCATTTCCTCAGCCCTTGCCCAGCCTTAATCTAGTCAGCTAACAATGTCATCCCTGCCCCTGGAACCCTAGGGTTTGACAGGCTTGAGGCTCCTCTTGTTCCATTCTTGAAATGTATATGAGGATGTGAACACAGTGTTACAACTTAGCCATGTAGGCCTTTGCCACTCTGTAGACCAGCAGCATCCCAACACTTCGTAACCTTTTGGGAATAGTCTATGGCAGTTTCTGAGATCTTCAGAGTCAGAATCTGAATTTTATAATTTTCCAGTGAGCTGTGTAAACACCTCCTTCTAAGAAGCACGGACCTAGACTTGCTGCATTCTTTGCTCTGTGTGTGGTGCCAGGTGTAACTCGGACCCTAAACATGCTAAATATATGCTCTATGAGTTTCACCGCCAACCCCACACTGACACTTTCTAGAGTCTTTGTACTTTTCTAGTGTACGTGTTCAATTCTTGTTACTCCGGGGTCAAGAACATTTCTCCTGATTGAAGCAAGGCACCATCCATCTTCCCCTGCAAGGGGCATCTGTTTCTCATGCCAGTGAGTCATGCCCTCCTTTACCATGGGATACTCATTAACCGAACATAGAAACATCAAAGCAGCGTCACAGGCCAATTAGTTTAGAGGGCTCTGGGAGCGCCCCACGTGACTGCTTTTAAACACTTATCTGAGGACTTCCATAAAGCAAAATCCAGAAAGAACTACAGTCTACCACTGTGCACAGATGTGCGCGCGCGCACACACACAGTCGCGCACGCACACACACACACACACACACACACACACTGGGCAGTGGGGGGGGGGGCACGACAATAACACAGTAAGCAGGCCCTCATGGGAGATTAGTGCTTTGATGTTGGACTTGCCAAACAGCGAGCAGTCCTTTTTATTTTCTTTATATAAAAATAAATCCAGCCAGGTGTGGTGGCGTATGACCGTAATTCCAGCACTTGGGAAGCAGTAGCAGAATTACTGAGAGGGTTCCAGGTTAGCCCAGGCTACAAAGTGAGACCCAGTCTTATTAAACAAACAACTCTAACCTTGGTAGCCAGATGTAGATCTCCCAGAATCTATCCTGCCAGCTGTTGGGGTCAGGTCTCTGGTCTTTTCCTCATCTCTCCTGCTATTGCTGCCTGCAAACCTTCTCACTGTCACCCCAAGCCACCAGAGAAGAAATTGAGTTACTTATTTTGAGTCATACCATGGTACTCTTTCAAAGCTTATGGTGATACTGCAGCTCAAGAAAAGATGATGTAGGTCTCGAGGTCAGCACACACGGGTGCGAATGGAGCCTCTCCCTTTTGTGAACTCTTACTGCCTACATTATTCACTGCTTAGCAACCACTGCTGTCCCGTGCAAGCTTTCTTTTCTGTGCATCTGCTCTGATTAGCAAAATGTTCCCCACATCTGCATTTTCTCTCTTAAAAGTCCACTTGCAGCTGGGTGATGTCACACACTTTTAATCCCAGAACTCTCTTAATTGCAGCACTCCGGAGATAGAGGCTGGCAAATCTCTGAGTTTGAGGCCAGCCTGGTCTACAGAGTGAGTTCCAGGACAGCCTGGGCTACACAGAGAGTCCCTGTCTTGAAAGCAAACAAAAACAAACAAACAAACAAAAACCTTAAACACCCCCCCACACACACACACAAGAACCCAAACCAACCAACCAAGCGAAAAATCCACATGCTGCTCAAAGGCCAGGATTTTCCTCTTCTCAGACACCTAGGACTAAACTCCCCAGCGGTGAGGTGTGCAAGCCTCTTCTTTGTGGATTGGCCAGGTGATTCATCTAGAATCCTTTTAGCTACAACTTTTCTGGATCTTTCCTTGTGAATGCCTGTCATTACTCCTCCCTAAGGAAAACAAAAACCAGAAAGAAAGAAAAAAAAGCAAACACCAAAAAACAAAGGCTACTGAATTCCAAGTAGGCTTCAGTTAATCTCATTTCTAGAACCAAGAGAGTAATCCATACTCATTTTGGGGCTAATGAGATATTACAGTAAACGTGGTCTCTTCTCTTGGGAAGGTACACAAGCAAAATAAATGGAATTCTTTCGTTCTTTCCCTTAGCTAAAAGCTGATTAAAGACTGTGGTTAAGGGGCTCAAAGTAGTAAGAAGAATGGGATATTCATTATTTACAGTGAAAATTTCACTAAATTATTTTTTATTAATTAAATTTATTCATTTATTTTACGTTGACCACAGTTTCCCCTATATCCTCTCCTCCCATCTTACTCAACTATTATTGGAATGCCTGCAACATACAGAGCAACAGACAATAGAAAACCTCTCTCCCAGGAGCACAGAAACTTACTTGAAAGACACTTATCCCTCAAGCTGTTTTCTTAACTACAAAATGAAAATAGCTTTGTATATGTGTACAGGTATACATATGTGTGGGTGCACATATGAGTGCATGTATGTACAAGCCAGAGGTCTACCTATGTATGAGTTTCTCAGGAACTGTCCACCTATTTTTTTGAGACAGTGTCTTTTTACTGGGTTAGTCTGGGCCACCTGGCTCCAGCACTTCAGGGATCCTCCTGTCTCCCCTGTGCTTGGGTTGTAAGCCTGCACACCATGCCTGGCTTTTTATGTTGTTGCTTGGGATCAAATCTGTTGAGGTTGGACCATAAATTATTTCTCTGACCAGCGGGGAGATGTGGGAATAAAGACACGACTCACATCATTTTATTGGGAGGGCGTTTTTAATGATCCCTCATGAAATACTGAGTTTACATCCTGAAAATTTACCCACGTTTATTCTCCAAACAGCTTTTTATGCCAAAACATAAACTGAGGGGGAAATCATTAGCATTCTGTTTCCTAGGTAGTCGAGCGAAGGATTTTGGTCACATCCACACCTTTCTATGCCGGTTCTGTCGCGTCTTCCTGTCTATGCCTGCGCTGTCACATAGACTGAATTAACATCTTTTTCCAGGCAATCTCCCAGAGTTACAAAGAAGGAGCAGAGCTACGTTAGCATACCCTGACCCTTCGTTTAGGATGGCGTCAGTTTGTCTCAAAAGGCTAGGCAACCACCTCCTGTGTGGCAGGTGAAACTGGCCTGAAATTCTGGCCATACAAAGTAGAAATATGGGCCTGTATAATATGGCCCTGCAATTCACTCTCTCTTATTAGTTTTAATAAAACCCGTGCTTTTGCAGCATGACAGATGATTACGCCTGTCTTAGGCAAAGACTTTTTCCTTTACCCAAATTTACTCGTCTTCGGAAACACAGGCATCTTTTATGCAAGCTCCTGTCTTAGGCACCTGGGGAGGAGATGCTCTAAACCCTTCACTGACTGTTGACCTCTGTGAAGAAAAGAGATTACGGGAGAGAGATACCTTTGGGCTTTACGTCTTGGAGTCATACCTTTTTTGTCAGGAGAAATTATAATGTTTTATGAATAATTATGCTCCTAAAGACTATAGTCTTCTATTTAAAGGAGAGGAAGATTGCCTATGGGCCTGTATAATATGGCCCTGCACAAATCCAGGTCCTTGTGCTTAAGTGACAAGAATCTTACCTACTATCATCTCAGTCCCCTAAGATGAAAAGAATTTCATAAAGTGTTTCATAAAACGGAACAGTGCATAGTCTAAGTTCTCAGTGTGGTAGTTTGAATATAACTGGCCTCCATAATCTCACTCATAACCTCATAACTGGCCTCATAACCTCACTATTAGGAGGTATGAGTTTGTTAGAGTGGGTGTGGCCTTGCTGGATGAAATGGATCACTGTGGGGGTGGGCCTTGAGGTTTCCTAT